ATCACTTTAGTGTAGTAGTGGCATCATTAGTAGTACATGTATGGACAAAAAACCCATAAACCCCCAAAAGTAACGCATGTAGTCTACAGTTCTCGTTACTTTTTCTACAAGAATGTTTTACTTGATAGTTTATTATGGACAGTAGATGTACTAATTCCTATCTGTACACTCACCCTTCTTAAAATTTAATGTTTAGTTCATTTTCATAAGTTTTATCAAATTATGTTTGATTGCCCAAAATTATATTCAACAATCATTTTTTTTATTTTATGCTGCTTTATGCAGCAATCAAACATAGTAAGTTTATCAAATTGAGGGAGGCCTAAGAAGATATCAGTTTAACTAGGATTCATCTCATGCATATGCATGTGGCTTCAGCCACACACAGTCACATTATGGAAAGCGCTAAACCCGTAGGAATTATACAGCGCCTCAGGGGAGTGTTTATTTCATAGGGGTCGTAAAGCATCTGGGGTATGAGCAGCATTCAGGTTGTCGAAAGTTTAAGACCCGTGCCAGAACACAGTCCTGGAGAATATTATGTAATTCAGGTTCAGTTCAAGAAAGGGAAGATAACTCTAATTCTAAGCATCGAGAGTGCCTCACTGGCATTATTAAAGTATGTATACTTTTTTTAGAAGAGTGCATGTATTCAAGATCACAGTAATAGTATTGCAATTAGTGAGGATTATACTTTTTTTTTTCAGGCCATATGTGGCATATTAAGAGTGGGGAGGGAAAGATTATTATTATAATCATAACCAAGTGCTAAACCCATAAGCGTCGTATAGCGCGGGGAGGGGGACGAACAGGTAGGAAAGAGCAGTTTAAAAGGTTGTGGGTAGACAGGAAGAGAAAGACATGAAAGAATGTCGTTGTTCGAATTTATTAAGCTATCCAAGGTGCTTTTTAATATGCCCATAATGTGTCCTAAAGACCATTGAAAAAATATGCATGTTATGTGCATACCTAAAGCCTCAATGATAATTTATTTATTGACCATTTCGTGTGTTTTAAGGGAGTGGTTTTTATCACATGTTAATGCATGGTATTTATTATTATGGTATATTTTACATTATTATTATAATCAAAGAAAGTGCTTAACTGACAAGGGTATATTTTTGAGAAAGTGGTTTTACAGCTCCTGGGCAATGGGAGGCAAGCAAGTTTGATCCATTTAAAGGAAAGGACAGGTCTAATTCCTTATATCTTGAGCCATTCACCAGAATTAGTGAACCTTCCCTCAGGGGTTAGTCTTGAGAGAGAAAGATTAAGTTGGCATAATGTCAATTTGTTATCTGACAATGTAGCAGAAAATGCTGTGCTTCCTATATTGATACAGATTATGTAGACCAAGTACAGTATTATAATGTAGATTATTATTATTAAAACTATTAGTTATGGGGAGCACTAAACTTGTTGGGGTCATGTAGTGCTTAGGAAAGGAGGTAATCAGGTTTAATTGAACGGGTAAGATAACTCCTCATCTCAAGAGCACTTCACAGGAATCAAGGGATATCATCAAATTAAGTGCTAAACCTGAATGGTATTGGAATGAAAGAAGCCCCACACTCCCATCCTTTCCCTGAAAGAAATGTGTTGCTTTCATTTCAATAGTTTGATTAGCTTGTTTTATAACAAATGTTCTGACATTTCTCTAGAAACTACATTATCTTCATTAGCAAGCTTGTCTTTTCTAATTATGATGATGTTTGTGGGGAAAGTACTAAATCTGTAGGGGTAATACAACACTCAGGAAATGGGAGGAAATAAATTCTGATCTGAGGAAAAGATACGTCAAATTCTCCAGGTCAAGAGGCTATTATTAGGGGCAAGGCACTCCTTTAAAGGTTGGTACTTAAGCTTCATATCAATATTACATATTCCATTATTAATACTACCCCATTCAGAGGTGTTTTTATGCCAGTGAGGGGCTCTTGATCCAAGGAACCGAATCGCTCCTCCCCTTGAATCAAATCTGAATCCCTTACATTCCTCATGTGCTGGATATTATCATGGAAAGTGCTAAAGACATGAGAGTCACTTGGCACTAACATTGGTTTAGAGCTCTCCCATAATTAGTACAATAATATTAATGTTAAATATACAGTACAATACAATACTTAAGTATTTCATCATATTAGTACAGTGGACCCCCGCCTTACGATATTAATCCGTTTCTGAGAGCTCATCGTATGCCGAAATTATTGTAAGGCGAATTAATTTTATCCAAAAGAAATAATGGAAATCAAATTAATCGGTGCAAGACACCCAAAAGTATGAAAAAAAAATTTTTTACCACATGAAATATTAATTTTAATACACACAAACTGAAGAAGACATGCACAGTTAATACTCTACTAAGAATAGAATACATGACACTTACCTTTATTGAAGATCTGGTGATGATTGATGGGATGGGAGGAGGGGAGGGTGTGGAAGTTATTGTTTAGAAGGGAATCTCCTTCCATTAGGACTTGAGGTATTAAGTCCTTTTCTGGGGTTACTTCCCTTCTTCTTTCAATGCCACTAGGACCAGCTTGAGAGTCACTGGACCTCTGTCGCACAATATATCTGTCCATAGAGCTCTGTACCTCTCGTTCCTTTATTTGTCTAGAGTGGTTCACAACTTTGTCATTGTAATAGTCACCAGCACGGCTTGCAATAGCTGTGTGAGGGTGATTTTCATCCATTTGCACACATTTCCTTAATCTCTTTTTTCAATTCCATACTAATTACCACCCTTTTTCCACAGGGATGGCACTAGAAGTTTTCTTGGGGTCCATGGTGACTTATTTTGCAGTTACAAGCACTAAAAACACTGGGATAATGTGAAATGTACCGAAGGTATGCGTAGATGCGACCGCACTGGCTGGCTTGTAAAGACTGGTGGTGAGGCCACACGTGGGACGCGTTCTGGACGAATCACATAAGGCGAATTTTTTAATGTGAGGTGAGGCAAAATTTTTGCGTTAAAATGTATCGTATGGCGGATTTAACGTAACGCAATGCCATCATAAGGCGGGAGTCCACTTTGGTAGTTATGTACTTTGGTAGTTATGACAGGAAAAAATATTCTTAGGGCTTCATTTTCTATTTTTAAATTCTATCAATACCTTTGCTATTTTGCAGTATTATATGTCCTGCCCTGCCCAGGAACTGAGCTAGGACTTTTTGCTCTAATAACCTAACTACAGTTGATTATGTTTGTAGCTAGTTGTTGACTGGTTTATTATACCTAAAGCCTTTCCAGAGGTTGCTCCTAACTTTGCATAATATTTACACCACACATTGCTCTTGGACATATCTCCACTGCCTTTAGCCTTGTCTTCCTTCTCTGAGGCCTGTGCTTAGCATCCATATAAAAGTGTTGGCACACTATTCTCTGGTACATTTTTCTTCTTGCCTTCATAGAGGAACTTCTTTCTTTCCAGAGATGCCTCGACACAGCACACTTACCCTCTTCCCTTCATCTGTTCTATAGTTCACCTTGTCTTTCAGACCCAATAGCCAATATATCTACTCGCAAATATCTGAATACATTACATTCCTCTATAATCCCTCCTCCCCAGTATATCCAGTCTTTCATTCCCTAGACATTTTTATTACTCTCATCACCTTGCCCTTGTCTATGTTTATTTTTAATTTCCTATTACATACCCTCTCAAATTCACCCACTAATCTTTGCAGCATAACTTCAGATTCTTCCACAGTTGCTCTTAGAGTGCCTAGTATAAGCTTGTTGTATCTTGAATGCTCAATACAAATGATCATTTTTTTTTTAACACATCAGCTGCTTCCCACCCAGGCAGGGTGACAAAAAAAAAAAAACTTTCATCATTCAATACTTTCACCATCATTCATACATAATCCCTGTCTTTGCAGAGGTGCTCAGATACGACAGTTTAGATTCACTCCAAACAGCCAATATCCCAAACCGCTCCATTAAATTAAGTGCAGGCAAATGATCGTGTGTGTAGAAAAAACACTTTGAGCTCAACTGGTCACAGAAGTTTAAGAATGGGTTTACAATTATCCAATACTATACAGAATCCATGTTTCATGTGGAAAGTGGCCTTTGAAGGTAATGGGTCGCATAGGGAAGTTCAAGAGAATTTGAGATATGTAAAACAAGTTGTTAGAGAAACTGGACCAATGGGGGCAGTAAATTTTCAAGTTATTTATTGATGATATTCCAGGATGAAACAACTTGCAGGCCTACAGAGTCCCAGGAAGTGAAAAAGGAATTGATAATAACCACAAGTGTGTCAGGGAGTAACCACATGACCAAAATATAAATTAATTTATATTTTGCATACAGTATATAACTGTTTAATGTAAGTATGGTGTTTTAATATGTTCGTAAAATTAAATCAAGAAATGTAGATTTAGAGAAAAAATAAGTCTATTCCAACCATGATGAGGTGGCGATCCACAGGGGCATTTTCATCAACAAAAATTGAAATGGATAATGTTTCCAGTAATGAGAATGTTTAAGTATAGTGTACAAGTTTTTAACTTATGGAAACACTTAACCAGTATTACACTATTTTCCTCTTAGGCCAAGAAATGCTTCAAACTATTATTTAAAATATACATTACAACTTCATGTGCTACTCTTTGTACCACTAAATCAATCAATCAATATCTCTATCAATCTCTCTCATTCTCCCATGTACAAAGAGAGGGGTAAGCATAGTGTCTAGCATGTTGCCAGAGGCTCATATCAACTAAATAACCTTAGCAGCCAATGCTTATTTAGCAAATCAAGAATCTCAACAAAGTTATTTACACTGTTTACCTCAACACTGTCTTCTAAATTTCATTTCACTTCATATTCAAGATTGTAATTATGAATACTTGGATATTAATTTTTTCCTTTAAAGCCTATTTTATTAATGATAATTTTTACTTCATTAAAATAATTTGCACTCTTGCATAATAATTGTAAAGTTAGCAAAATTTATCACAAAGCCAGGTATGCCTCAGATAAACTCAAATTGAGAAATATTTTTAAATCTCAAAGATATTCTTTATAAAAAAAAAATTGCAGTACAGGATATAACACTATGTGCTTAAACAATACAGTATTACATGTATATTACATATACATTATCAAAATATGTTATTTTATGCACAATGTTGCTAATAGGTGTATAAATATGTTTTATCATTACAGTGGAACCTCAAAAATCGAACTTAATCCGTTCCAGGAGCTAGTTCTAAATTTGAAAAGTCTGAAATTCGAAGCAATATTTCCCATAAGAAATAATGGAAATACAATTAATCCGTTCCAGAAACCCAAAAATATTCACAAAAAAAAAAAAACATTTTTATAGAGATTAATTACAGTTTTACATACACACAACAAATGCTATAGTCTTTAATTATGTATAGTAATATAAAATAACATTTTTACTTACCTTTATTGAAGATTGGTGATGGCATCTGGAAGATAGGGAGGAGAGAGGGAGTAGTATTATTGTTTGGAAGGAGAATCCCCCTCCATGAGGACTTCCGGTATCAAAGCCCTCTCTGGGCTTGCTTCCCTTCTCTGTATTGTAATGCCACTAGGACCAGCTTGAGAGTCATTGGACCCGTCTCACAAAATAAATCCACAGTCGTCTGTTTCTGTCTCACAAAATAACTGTCCACAATCGTCTGTTTGTCTCACAAAATAACTCCACAGTCGTCTGTTTCTGTCTCTCAAAATAATTGTCCACAGTCCTCTGTACATCCTGGCAAGCTCAACAAGTCTCACACCAATCTCATACTTCTGTATTATTTCCTTCTTCACATCTATGGTGTTTCTCACTTTCTTTACCACAGGGGTACCACTAGCAAGTTTCTTTGGGCCCATGGCAGCTTATTTCACAGTCCCACAAGCACTAAACACAACGAAATAATCGTAAAATGTGTGAATGAGAGCGCAGGTTAGTGTTCACTCAAGCATAAACAAAGCCAGACTGCTCACAGCGCCTGCGCGGGGACACGGACAGAGCGGGCCAGAGAACAGGTCCCGTACCTGGCGGTCCGAAATTAGAGGCGCATTCTATAATTGGGACACAGTCTGTCCGAAAAAATGGTCTTATTTTCGAAACATTCGATATTTGATACGTTCGATTTTTGAGGTTCCACTTTAGTACACATTACAGTTCACAATGCTGTTCTTTAGAATCTCATATATCATAGACCCCCAATATGGATCCTAAATCTACTCTTGATATTTAAGTCTAACTTTTATGTGAGACCTTCAGGTTCATACACTGTATCTAGAGAATATTGTATTATTATGCAGTAGTGAAAATCACAAGATGATTATCAACAAGATGGATATTGTAATATAAGGACTGCATTATGAAAATAAATGTTTAAATATACGTGCTATATAACATTTAGTAAATTACATTTATTTAAATGCCCTAAAATATTGCAAAATAACTGTTCTCAAGATTACACAATACCACAATGTATAACGAATACATCCGATACTTGATCCTGATACATATTTTAAAAACAAACAAAATTTAGTCCTGTTGAATATAAATTACCATTTCAAATAGGTAACTCTCTTTAAACACACTGGTTATGTCTCACAATGTATGGTGACCCAAAAATTGAGGTAACACACTGACTCATTTATTCAACCGCTGTCTTGCCAGAAGCGTGCTGCCATCCACGTTCTGAGGGCCCTCTAAACTGCAACATCCTCACCCCTCCTACAATATACAGTAAATCCTCCTTATAGCAGACTCTAGAAACACGAAACAAAATCCGCTGGGTCATTTGATTCGGAACCAATGGACAAAGTCTGTTGGTTACAGAATTGTCCATTGTTGTTACAATCATAAGTAAATAATTTCTTCCCTATCCACCACAATTGTCATTACCAGTCATCTATTCCCCCCAAATAGTATAAGAAGGGTTGACTGTAATGAAGAATGGATAATTATCAATAATGTTGACTTCATTTTTTTAATCATCACTACAGTACACAAGGAATGGAAGGTAATCAGATTTGATCCAAGGAGTGGGGGGAGGGTAGCAGCAATTCCTTGGATCAAGAGCCCCTTACCAGCATACCTTGAATGTCAATGTGTAAATTATCATCATGACTTCTGATAAAACTGACTTATATCCCAGTCACTTATTTTAAAAATGGCTGATGGGTTCAATATTGTTACAGTACCAGATGCTGGCAATGTAGTTTCTTCAAGTGGTTGTTCTATGTCTTCACTACATATTATACTGTTACTATCTGAAATTTCCGTTAATACTGTACCTGGCACTCCACTGCTAGATATTATACTAGCAGCCTTATTTTCTAAATTCAGTGGAATTATTGTGGACGTTGTGTGAGATTCATCTATGATGGTACTTGGTGGTAGAAGAGTAGTAACAGTGGAGGGTGATCTATGAACAAGAGGAATTTGTAGAGATGTGGAATCAGTGTCCATTGCTACTATCATGTTTACACCTTCACCTGTAACAGTCAGTCGTTCTAGAGGAGTTAATGACACAATATCAGTGTCGCTACCAACATCTACACTTGAAATAATAATTCCCGTTTCAACATTCTCTGATGAATTTCCATTTACATGACAATTGACAGTGTGCTCGGATAGCTGGTCAACATTTTCAAATGTTAAACAACACTCCCTACAATACAGATGCTCTTCAGATACACCTTGACTCTGCTTTTTCTCAGGACAAATTGTCTTGTGTAATGTGTAATCTGCAAGAGTGAGAGGCACCTTACATTCATCGCAATATAAATTTTCAGTGGTGTCACAATTAGTGTCTGATAACTTTTTCTTGTGGTTACGGGTTTTCAAGTGATTGTTATATTTAATCTCGGTCGAGAATGATATGTTACAGAGTTTACATTTAAATATATTTGAATCTTTCATGTGGATCCTCATATGATTTCTGCAATTAGATATGTATCTAAATGCTTTGCCACATTCCTTACAAGAATATGGCTTCTCGCCTGTATGCACTCTTTCATGACATTTAAGATCATCTTTTCTTACAAATTTTTTGTTACATACTTGACATACAAACTGTTTTTCTTTCTGATGAATTAATATATGCCTAATCAGTCTTGATTTTACAACAAAGGATTTTTTACAAACTTGACACTGATGCAATCCAGGACTTTCTGACATATGGATTTTTTCGTGGATTTTCTTATCCCGGTCCCTTAAAAATGTTTTCTTGCAGTACTCACACTGATGTGTTTTGTCACTGTTATGGATTTTCATGTGTTCCTTCAGAGAAAATTTATTACACAACTTTTTATTACAAACACTACACTCATATTCTGCAGTATGTTTATGCCTATGTTTGACAAGATTGGATTTTGTGCTAGTAAGAACCCCACAGATATTACACTTGAATGACTTATCCTTAGTATGAATGAGCATGTGTTCAACTCTGTGGCTGTAAGCCCGGAATAACTTGCCGCACACTGGACATGTATGCTTTCTCTCTGGCTTTAATTTGCTTCTCTTACCTGGTTTTTTCATGGTAGCCAATGTTAATGCTCGTGCAACAATACCATCTTCATTTGTTTTTAAGTCCACACCATTTAAAACTAGTAAACACTTTCCATCTTCATCCTCTGTTACTTGAGAAAGACTTGGTTTCATAAATATCTTCAAAGCATTATTAAAATTATGAATGGTATCTCGGCACACATTTACAAATTTGCAAAGAAGTTTTTCAATAACCTCGACTTTCTTGAAGCATTTAGAACACACAACATCACTATATAAATGAATATCAACAAGAGATTTCTTTAAAACGTAACACAGAAGATTAAGAAGAGGTTCTGCATTACCAATCCTAGTAAATGCACTGATGATCCCACCTGGAGAACCACACATGAGGCACAGACTTTGAGCAGTGATGGAAGAACCCTGAAATATATAGAATTGATGAGGGAAAAAGAGTGAGTGGTGCACTTAGGAGTCTGTGGAGACAAAGAACTTTGTCCTTGGAGGCAAAGAGGGGAATGTACGAGAGTATAGTTTTACCAACGCTCTTATATGGGTGTGAAGCGTGGGTGATGAATGTTGCAGCGAGGAGAAGGCTGGAGGCAGTGGAGATGTCATGTCTGAGGGCAATGTGTGGTGTGAATATAATGCAGAGAATTCGTAGTTTGGAAGTTAGGAGGAGGTGCGGGATTACCAAAACTGTTGTCCACAGGGCTGAGAAATGGTTGTTGAGGTGGTTCGGACATGTAGAGAGAATGGAGCGAAACAGAATGACTTCAAGAGTGTATCAGTCTGTAGTGGAAGGAAGGCGGGGTAGGGGTCGGCCTAGGAAAGGTTGGAGGGAGGGGGTAAAGGAGGTTTTGTGTGCGAGGGGCTTGGACTTCCAGCAGGCATGCGTGAGCGTGTTTGATAGGAGTGAATGGAGACAAATGGTTTTTAATACTTGACGTGCTGTTGGAGTGTGAGAAGTAACATTTATGAAGGGATTCAGAGAAACCGGCAGGCCGGACTTGAGTCCTGGAGATGGGAAGTACAGTGCCTGCACTCTGAAGGAGGGGTGTTAATGTTGCAGTTTAAAAACTGTAGTGTAAAGCACCCTTCTGGCAAGACAGTGATGGAGTGAATGATGGTGAAAGTTTTTCTTTTTCGGGCCACCCAGCCTTGGTGGGAATCGGCCAGTGTGATAATAAAATATATATAAAATATATATAAATAATATATATATATATATATATATATATATATATATATATATATATATATATATATATATAATATATATATATATATATAATATATATATATATATATATTTATTATTTTATTATCACACTGAAGAATGTAAGTGTGGTGGAGGTACGTGAGGCATTACGTAGAATGAAAGGGGGTAAAGCAGCTGGAACTGATGGGATCATGACAGAAATGTTAAAAGCAGGGGGGGATATAGTGTTGGAGTGGTTGGTACTTTTGTTTAATAAATGTATGAAAGAGGGGAAGGTACCTAGGGATTGGCGGAGAGCATGTATAGTCCCTTTATATAAAGGGAAAGGGGACAAAAGAGATTGTAAAAATTATAGAGGAATAAGTTTACTGAGTATACCAGGAAAAGTATACGGTAGGGTTATAATTGAAAGAATTAGAGGTAAGACAGAATGTAGAATTGCAGACGAGCAAGGAGGCTTCAGAGTGGGTAGGGGATGTGTAGATCAAGTGTTTACATTGAAGCATATATGTGAACAGCATTTAGATAAAGGTAGGGAAGTTTTTATTGCATTTATGGATTTAGAAAAGGCATATGATAGAGTGGATAGAGGAGCAATGTGGCAGATGTTGCAAGTATATGGAATAGGTGGTAAGTTACTAAATGCTGTAAAGAGCTTTTATGAGGATAGTGAGGCTCAGGTTAGGGTGTAGAAGAGAGGGAGAATACTTCCCGGTAAAAGTAGGTCTTAGACAGGGATGTGTAATGTCACCATGGTTGTTTAATATATTTATAGATGGGGTTGTAAAAGAAGTAAATGCTAGGGTGTTCGGGAGAGGGGTGGGATTAAATTATGGGGAATCAAATTCAAAATGGGAATTGACACAGTTACTTTTTGCTGATGATACTGTGCTTATGGGAGATTCTAAAGAAAAATTGCAAAGGTTAGTGGATGAGTTTGAGAATGTGTGTAAAGGTAGAAAGTTGAAAGTGAACACAGAAAAGAGTAAGGTGATGAGGGTATCAAATGATTTAGATAAAGAAAAATTGGATATAAAATTTGGGGAGGAGGAGTATGGAAGAAGTGAATGTTTTCAGATACGTACTTAGGAGTTGACGTGTCGGGGGAAATGGATTATGAAGGATGAGGTTAATCATAGAATTGATGAGGGAAAAAAGGTGAGTGGTGCATTGAGGTATATGTGGAGTCAAAAAACGTTATCTATGGAGGCAAAGAAGGGAATGTATGAAAGTATAGTAGTACCAACACTCTTATATGGATGTGAAGCTTGGGTGGTAAATGCAGCAGCGAGGAGACGGTTGGAGGCAGTGGAGATGTCCTGTCAAAGGGGCAATGTGTGGTGTAAATATTATGCAGAAAATTCGGAGTGTGGAAATTAGGAGAAGGTGTGGAGTTAATAAAAGCATTAGTCAGAGGGCAGAAGAGGGGTTGTTGAGGTGGTTGGTCATTTAGAGAGAATGGATCAAAGTAGAATGACATGGAAAGCATATAAATCTATAGGGGAAGGAAAGAGGGGTAGGGGTCGTCCTCGAAAGGGTTGGAAAGAGGGGTAAAGGAGGTTTTGTGGGTGAGGGGCTTGGACTTCCAGCAAGCGTGCATGAGCGTGTTAGATAGGAGTGAATGGAGACGAATGATATTTGGGGACCTGACGATCTGTTGGAGTGTGAGCAGGGTAATATTTAGTGAAGGGATTCAGGGAAACCGGTTATTTTCATATAGTCGGACTTGAGTCCTGGAAATGGAAGTACAATGCCTGCACTTTAAAGGAGGGGTTTGGGGATATTGGCAGTTTGGAGGGATATGTTGTGTATCTCTATACGTATATGCTTCTAAACTGTTGTATTCTGAGCACCTCTGCAAAAGCAGTGATAATGTGTGAGTGTGGTGAAAGTGTTGAATGATGATGAAAGTATTTTCTTTTTGGGGATTTTCTTTCTTTTTTTTTTGGGTCACCCTGCCTCGGTGGGAGACGGCCGACTTGTTGAAAAAAAAAAAAAAAAAAAAAATATTATATATATGTAGTACAGTGGACCCCCGGTTAACGATATTTTTTCACTCCAGAAGTATGTTCAGGTGCCAGTACTGACAGAATTTGTTCCCATAAGGAATATTGTGAAGTATATTAGTCCATTTCAGACCCCCAAACATACACGTACAAACGCACTTACATAAATACACTTACATAATTGGTCGCATTCGGAGGTGATCGTTATGCGGGGGTCCACTGTATATATATATATATATATATATATATATATATATATATACGTATAGTATATATAAAACAGTGTGAATTACAAAGAAAAAATATGCAAGATTGGAATTTTTCACAGGGTTTTTAGCAGGGATTTTGGAGACATCAATAAAGAGCAAAGAGATTGCAATTATTCAGCAAACCTGCCTCTGTATCACTGGAAGACACTGAATTAAAAATTCCATTAGAATTAACCAATCTTCAGAATTAGGAGGTGTGTGGGGGTGGGTGGTTACTAAAAGTATTAGAGCACTGAAGAGGGGTTGTTGAGGTTGGATATTTAGAGAGGATGAAACAAAATAGAATGACCCAGAGTGCATATAAAGCTGAAGTGTAAGGAAGACAGGGTAGGGGTTGTCCTAGAAAAGGTTGGAGGGAGGGGGGTAAAGGATGTTTTGTGTGTGAGGGGACTGGACTTCCAGTAAGCCTGTGTGAGCGTGTTAGATAGGAGTGAGTGGAGACAAATGGTTTTTATGACTTGACATCTATGAAGGGATTCTAGGAAACCAGTTTGCCAGACTTGAGTCCTGGAGGTAGAAAGCACAGTGACTGTTCTCTGAAGGAGGGGTGTTATGTTGCATTTCTTTTTTAACTGTAATGTAGGCATGCCTATGGCAAGACAATGATGGAGTGAATGATGGTGAAAGTGTTTCTTCTCTTTCAGGTCATCATGCCTTGGTGGGAAACAGCTGGTGTGTTAATAATTTTTTTTTTTTTTTTTTGGGGGGGGGGGCCTTCCTGTATACAGTACATGCTTTTTATGCAAATTTTGATGAAAATCAAACCTATTATAAATGTACCTGAGTTAATTCTGGCATTTCTTCTTGTTCCACATTGGAGTTATGATGACCCACATTGGAGATATGATGACCCACAGCATCTGTGGCTGCTGGGCCTCCAGGTGCTGTGTCATAAGCATCCATCATCTGTAAAAAATGGAAATTTAAGTAATAGAATGTAAAAATCTCAGAAGATCAATACTGCCCTTTTCATTCATGAATATTGCACAAATAACAGCTAGAGGTATGTATTTTTTATTATGATCAATAAACAGTCAACATTAAGATGAATGGTGATACCAAAAGTGAATCTAGAATCCTTAAACAATAACAGAAAGCATAAGCCACATCACAATGAACGTTTAATCTTACAGTGAAACAAGTGAAAAAAGGCAGAGGAAAAAAGTAATAAAAAGAAATCTAACCTAGTCTTACTCTATTTTACAACAAAGTAAACATATTTGACTTGGGTATTCTCATCTTGGACATAGTGGTGTTAGAAAAGGGTTTAATTAGCAGTGTTTACAACAGGTTGGCAACCTACAGCCCACAGGTCAAATGATGTTAAATACATGTCGAAGTTTAATATGTATTATTACCTTTATTTATTAACTATGGTGATAAGTGTGGCCTGCCATCCACTCACAGACATGGGTTCTGGCCCCTAGGCAGAACAAGGCTGCTGACCTCTGGTTTACAATGTAGGCATTCATAATCAGTTACTATACATAGAGAAGAGTAAATGGTTCACTAAGGTTTTTAAGGAGATACATAAGGGGTCAAGAACATGACTGGACAACGGATGACAGCCCATTTCATTTATGAATTTGCAAAGGTTACACACAGAAAATTTCTCTCAAAACTTACATAGGAGTCCTCTGATAAATACTGAATTGGCCCACTTTTACATATTAATTTTATTGGGTTATCCTAGGTCAAATCTCACATAATTTATTGAGCATGTACTGTATGTCCATAACAAGTATGTGTCCTGAAAACCACTGGACAAATTCATATTCAGGTTAGGTTAGGTAAGATTTGTCAGGAAACAGGACAAGTGTTCCCTGACGTGGGTCTTAGTCAGATGATGACCCGCCTTTGGAGCTTTTGGTCATCTGATCGAGGCCTTCTGCTGGCTTACCGGTCCACTCCTTTAAAAATTGTGGTCATAGTTATGACCATTTTGTATATCTCCTTCATATTCAGTCATCCCTAGAGGTCCCATAAAACTAGGAACTGCAAATAATACAAAACTAAGTTTGCACAACACATTCTGTTTTAGATTGAATATCAACTGACAATTTAAGAGACCATATCTCTAACATTTATGTCATCACTAACCTAGTTAATATAGACAGTCATAGGAAATGATGACCAGAATAAAAGTTCAGGGCAAGGAAAACCCACAGTGTAAAAAAAAAAAAAATGGATAGTTGAATATGTTTGCAGGTTGTCCTTCAGGAAGAATGCTGAATAATCGAAACCCTCAAATAAGGAATCCAGAGAATTTGGAGGTTCAACTATACAGTACTACTAATTTGTAAAACCATTTGTAGATTTTACTAAATTAAAACTTAATTTCTAAGGTGAGAAACCCTACATTCTCAGTTACTGTATAATGAATATGAGAAGTCATATGTAAAACTGATGAAATTTATTAATTAACTGTATGAAGTTTCTTCTGGAAGGAATAATGACTAATGTATAATTGAGCAATGCTAACCAATACAGTTTATTGATGACTAGTTAAGCCAGAAGGGCATGAAAAGCACATCAAATATTGCTTTCCAGTGTCCACTGACACTGTTATCGGATAATATAATATAATAGCAGTTAATTGATTTTCATGGGTTGCATTCTAGAAGATCAAAGGACTCCAATGAACTATTAACCCTTGGGAGTTACTAATTTGAATAACATGGTCTTCTCCCATTGCAATAGGTCTGTTGCTTCCATTGTCTGTATTTACTGGATTAAAAAAAAAAAGGGCCAGCAGTGGCATTAGGACCGAAAAAGCCACTGGCAGTACAACTAATCAATCAAATGTCCTAAATGGGCATAAATATCTGTCTGGGCTGTTATATTGTACTTTTACTGTTAGTAGCCAGAGCTGGATTAAGATTTTATAGGCCCCTGGGCTACAGGTACTCTGAGGGAAGGGGGGGGGGAGGGAGTGATATTTTCAAAAGGAAAAAAAGTCAAAGAAATACTAAATTTATTTTTACAAGGATAACCACAATTAAAATTCAAAGATTTGCTTTGCGTAATTTTTGAAATGAAACTTCCTCAAAGCATCAGTAAATTGTAAGTTGTTGAGAACATCTCTGGAGGCCCTCCAGCTAGGGGAGGCCCCTGGGCTGGAGGCCCCTGGGCTGCAGCCCCTAAAGCCCATGCCCTAATCCGTTCCTGTTAGTAACACTAAGAACCTAAATAAAATCCAGTAACCTACTTTTTTTGTGAGAAAAAAGGAATTTGGCAAATACTTTGACCCAAAATTACGGGCTATTATTGTAAGATATACTAATTTGTATTGGTGTTAACCTACTAATGCACCTCTTATGTATTTTCTTTGTAAATAGTTATACTTTTATCTTCTTTCGGATACGTACAGTTATAATATGTGATCTTACCTCCGGCAGCTGGAACCGTCCATTGTTGATGTCTGGACCACTAACATGCCGAAATACTTTTATTTTTATTTTTTAACTATGTATATTAATTAATATTTAAAATTAATGACATAAATTACCACCACCTTAAGTTTTTGTATTATTTTCTCTACTATATTTCGTTAGTTTCAGCATTTTGTACTGCCCGAAATACCCAGGCATGTTAGTGGCTTTCTCTGAGTTTAATTAACATTTTATAACATATAAATAACACATTTTAACCTTTGCAAGGAAATAAACTATTTGTATGATGGAGAATGCGAGGATGAAAGGTGTCCCGTAGCTCGATTGCTAACTCATTTCGCACACTGAGGTCCGTGATTCGACCCACGGTACGGGGTGGAGACATTAGGACTTATTTCCTCAAGACACCTGCTATCCCTGTTCACCTAACAGTAAAACAGGTAGCTGAGTGTTAGTCGACTGGTGTGGGTCTCATTCTGGGGACAAAATTGACCTAATTTGCCCGAAATGCTCTGCATAACCAGGAGCTTTCTGTACAGTAATGTCATTGATTAGTAAGTAAGTTTATTTAGGTATACACAAATCCAGTTATATAGAATTATCGTACATAGCAGCATATGTGTAGAGAACCTGGGATAACCCAAAAAAGTCAGACAGAGTGACTTATTTCCATTGGGGTCCTTTAGCAAATCTTGGAATTGATATCAGCTATGACCTGTATACCCCTCAAGGAAGGTTCCTTGATGTTGGTGAGGGGCTCTTGATTTAGGGAATTGGATCTGTGCTCCAGTTCCCCGAATTAAGCCTGAATGCCTTCCACATATCCCCCCCCAGGCGCTGTATAATCCTCCGGGTTTAGCGCTTCCCCCTTGATTATAATAATAATAATATGACCTGTATACCTTGTACACGTACTTGTAGAAATAAAGATTATTATTAACTTATATTGCATGATAAAGATTTTGTTCGGATTATGTTATAACAAACAAGATTAGTAAGCCAGGGTAACCCGATAAAGGCAGGAGCATGATATATAACTCATCTTATGTGATGCAATATGACAGAGAAACCATTTTGTGAGATGGAGCATAACGGAAAACACACTACGTCACTTTAATTTTTTTAAAGTTCTGTGCCTAAATAAACTTAGTTTATTTAGGCACAGGTACACATGAGTATAATTATCATACATAGTGTAGATTATATAGGATAACCCCCCGTAAAAAGTCAAGAGTGAAATATGGAACGACAGTAATGGTGTGATAGGTCATGACGAAAATCATCCTGTAGTGATGACAAGACTGTCCTGTGTGATGGATTACGACAGGAAAATCATCTTGCGTGGCGTTTTTTTTTTTTCAGCTAGTTCTTACTTTAACTTTATAAAATGTCACATAGACCAAGGTGGCCACACAATAATGTCTTTGTGTTCAATTCTGATATTAAACAAAGGGCCACTGTTACATGAAGACTATTTCGAGTACATCGTTCCTGTGGCCCGGTCCCAGACCAGGCTCCTCGATGTTAAGTCAGACTATTTTGTGTTGAATATTCTTAAATTACTCTTCACTGTAGTAGCTTTGTCTCATTGCATTTTAACCCAGACAACTTAAATTTATGATTATTTCACAAACTAATTCTGAAGAGGCTTCGTTCCTCGAAACTTGAATTGAGTCACGTGGGGAAAATCAAATCAAAACCAGTTTTGTAGTTTTGTCTTGTTTAATTTTAATGCACAAAGTCAGTGTTACTTGTCCTTTCTTGAGATTATAAATAATATTAATCCTGGCATGCAGTCATACGTGTAGGTACATGTACTTAAATGGAGCTGCTGGAAGACATTTTTAATTACTATTCTTAACAGTTAATTTAATAGCTTCATCATACACCCCACCCCATGTTTATCCAGTGGACAGTAGTTAAAATATTATTAGGGAGGTAACTGTTTTGGTCTAAGACCAGAACAATGTTACCTGCGTTATGTGAGGAAACTATAAATAAAGATTTACCATAGTTCTCTCAGATTTACAATGGAAATTTTATTAATAAATGTTCGCATTTAATCAATAAGCAAGCAGTGTTTCTTAATGAGATCTGTTTAGTCTACAACTGACCAGCATTGTTGGTTCCTGGCTTCTTGGGAACTATCATTTCCACTCTTGAAACTGGATATGAAGCTTGTTCTCACCACTTCGTCCTCCTAATTACCATTTTGAGAATGAAGTATTTCTTAACATCCGTGTGGCTCATCTGTTTTTTTTTTTTTTTTTTTTTTTAGTTTCCACCTGTTTCATCGCCCGTGCCTTGAAATTCAGTTTATGTTAAAATTTATCACGTGCTGACAATACAATGGAAATTGAAAATAAAAAAAATGTATTGGTTACCTCCATTATATAGCTCAACTTGCAATAGTTGCTGGTATCCTTGGCATTAAAAGTAACGCAATTTAACGGCGAGCTGGGAATGTAGGTCATGGATACAGTTTACCCTTGTCATACTCTTCACTCCCAGCATACTATGTAACAAAGGTGTCTTTAATGTTATTATCATTCTACTGGGTATATTGCAAAGCTGACTGAAAGATGGTGGTACTCTTAAATTTAAATCACCATTTTACATTTTTTCAAGACTGGAATATACTATACATTAACAGTCTCCTTGCAGGTATGCGATATTGCAGTATAGAGACACCTCACTACCTGTATAAAATATTGGGAACTCTTGTAGTCATTCGAACTGCCCTGCATGGAACGATGGCGAGAAAGCTGCATTGTAATTTACACCTGGAAAATTTTTTAGTAATTGGTTCCAAATCTTCACGCCGAAATCACCCCTACGGAAGCAAGAGGGTCGTAGACGGTACAAAATGCCCCCAGTGAAAAGCTATAAAAGAATAAAGATTTTTTAACACCTCCCCTTTATGCATAAATGGAATTATCAATAGACCGATAGCTGTCTTCATGAGGAAACTTTTTAAGTTCATCATGTCAGTTCCTGATCAGCCGGGCTGTGGTAAATATGTCTGGGTGATACCTGGATGGCATTCAGAAGGTCAACGCCCCCGCGGCCCGGTCCATGATCAGGCCTCATGGTGGATCAGGGACTGATTAACCAGGCTTTTACCGTTGGTTGCACGCAGACCGACGTACGAACCACAGCCCGGCTGGTTAGGTACTGACTTCAGGTGTCCGTCCAGCTCTCTTGAAAATAGATAGGGTGGATTATTGGTAATCCCCTTTATGAAAGTTAAGACACAAGTGCAGCATCTGGTCTTAACTTTCATCTTGTCGGTATTGTATACCTTTCTGGCACAATCGCCTTTATGTATGCTGGGAGGCAGTCGAACAGTCTTGGGCCCCCGGCACTCACTGTATTGTCTTTTAGCGTACTAACGGCGCCCCTACTATTCAATAGTGGGGGGGGGGATGTTGCACCGCCTGCCGCCGAGTCTTGTACTCTCATAGGGAGTGATTTTGGTGCCTAGATTTGAGACTTGTCTCTCTAGGATTTTGCAAGTGTTTTGTCATGTATCTTTCTCGACTGCTTTCAAGCCATTAACCGGAAAATTTTTTTTTGAGACCGGGCCTCTGTATAAAACAAGCAAGTTTCCTTTTGATGTCATGTTCAGCATTTAATTTTGTGTACATCAAGGGGCAGGATGTTATAGCTGTAAATGCACATCATTGACTAACTCACTCATTCCCTCTATATAGAGGATGAGAATGCTAACTCTGTCCAGTGTTATTACCACCATTGATGCTGTACTCCTCTCTAACTATGGTCTGATTTAATATCCTTCCTTCCTCGGCTGTGCTGTATAAGAGAGTTCACACTATTAACAAAAGTTTCCCCGTCGGATTCCCTTTGCTCATCAGGGAGGTCTGGCCTAGGACTGGGTCGCGGGGTCGGTGACCCCTTGAAATTTTCAGGTATTCTTCCGATATTTTCCTTGGCTGCAGTAGGGGCAGTTTGGAAGAGTTAAAATTTTCAAGGGTGATATTTGTTTAACGTTAATTAGGTATCCCCAAAAGGGAAACTAAGTGACTGCCTGAAAAATTTTCATTATTTTTTTTCTTCAACTTTTCGTTTTTATTTCGTTCCGATCGACTTGGAACAACTGGCATGTGCAGGTGCCCTAAGACCAAAGAAAGAGACCATATCCAGCTTCCTTGAATGGCTTTAATGTCCAAAACTATCTACTGCTAACACAAATAACCTGCACATAGGAGAGAGGAGCTACGACGACGTTTCGGTCCGACGTAGACCATTTACAAAGTCAAATTTACAGTCGGTGTGACTTTGTAAATGGTCCCAGTCGGACCGAAACGTCGTCGTAGCTCCTCTCTCCTATGTGCGGGTTATTTGTATATTGCTCCAGCTACGGTATTGAGCCTTTCTGTTATTTATCTGCTGCTTGGCTTCAAACGTTCAAAAAAGAGGCCTCCTAATTCAATGACGGGCGAGGGGGAAATTCGAGTGTGTAGGCGCACATCCGTCAAACTTACTATAAAATGGTGAGAATTTTGTTAGACCCATTAAATCATGTTAAATATAGGTTTAGTTTTTGTGCAGGCAAATTTGTCATTATACTAAATTAGTTTTTAAAATCTGTAATCGTCGGAATCCACGCGATAACTGGAGACTGATGATTCTGACTGGCAACAAATTTTTAGCCCCGGTGTGTTTTCCAAAACACAAGGTTTGAGTTTTTGTTAGGCTGTATAATTCACAGTAATTTTTTTACGTTAATAATAATGATTTCCATTCAGTAACTAAAAAATGCTTCGTCTTATCGGCTGCAAAATAAAAATGATACACTCCATAAAGAGGATGACACCTATAAATTTTACAATCTGTAATTTGAAATTTTGTTGAAATTGTTGAAAGCTTGGAATAGTTAGATTTAGAGCAATTACTGGAGAATGCCTTTTCTGTTAGTCTTCAAACTTTGAGCACTGGTGAGCTTTATTAGAAGAAAGTTTGGCTAATAACACATTGCAGTTGTTACCGGGTGTTTACCTGGAGAGAGTTCCGGGGGTCAACGCCCCCGCGGCCCGGTCTGTGACCAGGCCTCTTCGGTGTGGACGTATGAATTGCTCTTACTTTATAATTTGTTCATGATTGTAACCATGTATAAACGTAAGTAAACTTACTTACATGATTCATTACCTTTGTACCTTGATAAATTAGACACATGTGCAACTCTTGGGTATCTTTATTGAGGAA